AGCTGAGAAATACATAAATGAAAGAAAATTAATGTTAACGGAGAACTACATAATTCTAAGGATTCCTCAAGAATAAGCTCACAAGGGACATAACACATAACCTAGCTGTCCCATATAACGTTCGACGAATATAATATCTTTACATTTTCTTTTCATGTCAAAAGAGACTGATTATCACTTAAATTCATATAATTTCCAGTTCTTCTGCTAAGCAGAACTCTCTCTAAATTCACAATCATATGAATTAAGTATCTTTAAACACATTTAGCTTACGTAAACTTGATATGCAAAGCCACATAAATGAGAAGGGAAAACATGGTTTTTATCAAGATGAATGGGCATCTTTTTTTTGCAACTTGTTAGCTCTTTACTTTCTAAAAATAAAAAAAATGCCTAAATTCATCTTATCTAATTCAGCTTATTGCATGTAATAATTCACAAATAGTTCTTCACAATATAGAACATTAACCTGTACATGGTAAACCAGACTAAAAATACATTCACAGGATCAAAATATATTGGGAGTCCTCTAAGCTTCTTAAATGAGAATAGCCTGAGGTTAATTTTAGACGTTTAATCCATCATAACTGCATCTATATAAACCAGTGTGTCACAAAGAACCACATATTCGGCTTGTGAAACTATTCAGAAAGCAACATAAACATTGCTCCTTCCAGGTATATTTCACAGCAACAAGATTAACTTCAGTAATCTGGTTCTGAATGCAAAAACAATGACAGAAGTTGCTTTTACATCTTTTCAACTAATGGTGCTATTTGGTGTCTTTGGTTAACTGGGACTTTTTCTTTAATGAGAGTCTTACAACTGAAGTCTGCAATAAGTACTGCCACGTTTTACTGCAGATACATCTTGTTCTATCATGCAATTCATTAAAATGTCTGTCAATAAATATAATAATACCTTCATCCAAGTAAGAGTCTATAAGACTTCCTCCTAACTTCTTGATGACATGAATAGCTTCCAGGTTTCCAGACCCTTTCAGCCTAAGGACAGCATCTACAGCAAGTTTTGCAAAATGCTCTTTATGATGAGTAAGCAGTTTTGAAGATAATGTTGTTTCCGCAATGTTCATTAAATCTTTATGAAACCTGGCTTCATTTTTACTGAAAAACAGAAAAACAAAACAAAACATGATCAGGATCACCAACAGAAAATCACTTCTCAGTCCCAAGCCAACCTACAAAATCTATATGTAAACAGGGAAGTCTCATTCTCCACTTTCCAAAAATGTATCAATATAACCAGTTGTTTCCAGAATGTTAAAAAAAAGCACTTTGAAACAATGGGAAAAAATAGAAAGAAATTCCAACAGAATTTCTAGAATTCCAACAGATTCCTGCTAGTGTGTCTTATCATTCTTGCACTTCGGACAGTGAAATTTAAATACATTGCTCACTGAGACAACTGAACTGAATTCACTCACAGGATATTGTTCCCAAAGGATGAACTCTGTAGTACCGAAAATCCACAAACATCAAATGTTACAAAGCTTCATCTGCTCATATTCATATACTCCTTAATTCATTGTATTTAACAGTATAGTAAATTGTTGTATCATGGAACAGATCACTTTCATAATTCTTACCGTGAATATTGAACAATCTTCTAGAGAACAAAAACATCCAGGCTACATCTACACTATGTGGTGACAGTAAGAGTTTACAGTGCAGAGGGTGGAGACAGAAATATACAGGACAAGGAAAATGGCAGCTTGCATCTGATTAATGCTTGCATTAGTTTCCACAGGCATATATACTATAGAATTCTGAACATTTTAGCCATAGTTATAGGATGTATTTTGATAGTATGCTACAGTAAAAATGCTTTGTTTCAAATCCTTTCACAAAAGCAAAGAGCAATCAATTGCTAACCATTATTTTCTACAAACCTTTCTTATTAGAAACATATTTGACCTCGACAGTTTGATACACAGATGCTGCTTTGTTTGTGGCTATACTAACCCATTATCCACAGCTGACTTCACCAAGGCTTCTCTGGCTGCTCTTGTGGCTTCTCTCCAACCAGCAATAATGGTCTGAGGATGGATTTTCCTTGCAATCAATAATTCTGCCTCCTATTAATGAAATATACATTGTTTACCTGAGCGAAATAGTTTGCTTTCATCCTGAACTTATATAAGCACATCCACTATCCTTCAGTTCTGTCGAATGCCATGTGATGTACTGAATGAAATCCAAACTTAAAAAAAAACTATTTGGATTTTTCTCTTTAATTTTTACATTTCAAAAATTACACAAAAACTAATTCTTAGTCGACAGTATCTATTTTTCCAATATAAAAATCAGTGCTACTATTTTTTACAGATGTTTTCTCCTTGGGTTATATAGTACCTATTATAAATTGTCTAGCACAGGACAACTTTTTCACATTAAAGCTTCAATGATTTAGGTGCTATTTTGAAAAAAAAGTTGAAAATTGGCTTCTCAATAGAGTTATAATTTATGATTAAAAACAAAGATATAACAACATATATTAAAACAGCAATTACTCTTAGCAATTCAGCTGCCAGAACAGTTACTGAAGTAGTTCCATCACCAACTTCATCATCTTGAACCTTGGACATATCTGTAAGAATAATATTTTTATAATTAAAATAATATTTCTTATTTGTTAGGGACCTCCACAGGAGGATATGCAGTACTTTTCATTCAGAAGGAAGAGTGCTGTTGAGTGTGCACAGAGCACACACTGCCAACTCCTTAATCTGAGCACATTTCTCCTTGGATCCTGCTACAGTTGTGGAGAACAGCTGCATGATCCTCAGCAATGACTGCAGCTGCTTTAGGAACTGCAGGCAGATGTTACACAATTACCTCCATTTACTCCAAAGCACTTTTTCCCCTTTGAATCTAGCACTTTGCACAGCCTCACTGTACAGATAACAGAAATGGCACAACGTAAGTAAAGCTATGCAGACTGTAGAATCTCCATAAGCAGAAATAAGGTATTTACCAAGCTGCTCTTGATATCATGACTAATAAAAGCAGAATTACCTAAGGCAAGATGTATGTTTAGCTTTTCTTGGCAAATAATTCTAGTTGCCTAGGAGCACAAAATCAGAGTAAGCTGATAAAGCAAAACTGAGGAAGCTACAGTTATTTTTACCAGAAGCAGAAAATCTAGAGTTTATAAACTACTAAAAAAAACAAAAAGAATATATCTAAATAATATAGTTAGACATACATACCAACCAAAACTTTAGCTGCAGGATTATCAACTCCAATTGATTTTAAGATTGTTGCCCCATCATTTGTTACTGTCACTGTCCCCTCTCTTCCAGTACTCAAAAGAATCTTGTCCTGCAAGTTCCAAATTTGTGATTATAAAACACCAGGTTCAAAATACTAACAATGACAAAAAAGTACCTTCAAAAGTTACAGAATCTTACCATGCCTTTAGGCCCCAAAGTGCTTTTAACTAGGTCTCCAATGGCAATAGCTCCAACAAAAGAGGACTATAATACAAATAGATCAATAAACATGACTTCATTCAGCATGAATTCAAGTTTTCAAAAATAAATACATTTCAACCATAATGTAGCTACAGTTACTAGAATAAACCAATGACAGACTTACTAAACGAGCTGTTTCTGCTCTCTCTTCATCAGCACCAGGCTTGAAGATGTTCACAGGTGCAAGTGACATGGATGCCTGAACAGCAAACAGTTATCAGGATGACATAAAGCACATTGCATAAATCAACTTGCAAGGTGCTTCATTAGCAACTATGGTATTTGATATGTGAATGTTAGAGCACATAACTTTTTCATGTTACAGCAACCAATTTTTAAAACAGAAGTTAAATTTTTGGAGTTCAATTAGACTAAGTATTAGAAGAATAATCCAATCTCAGCTTGTTTTCACCAATACTATTTTCCATGCATAAACTCAGTTTTTTTTATTTATATTTCCCATCCATTCATTATATTAGCCATGTTGTTTCTTACATCTTGAGTATGTTTATACAGTATACTTTGTTTTAAAGACACAATGAAAGGGATCTTTTAAAAAATCAGACTAGTGTTAGCAACATGGAGCTATTTAGAAAATGTAACAGGACTGAAATTTCCAAGAATATTACCTAAATCTCCGGAAAAGATTTCTCTCTCGGCAAGAGTGGGCTTTTCCACACAAGCAGTTTATGCGGAGCCAAAGTATTACAAGAGACACAAGGGAATCTAAGTCTGCTGTACTGGATGGAGTGCATGTTGAAATGCAGCAGGTAGCTTTTTTGTCTGTAACAACTACAGAGGGGATGCTCCAGCTTACTTCACTGATTGACGGTATGGGAATGGCAGAAAAACTCCATCGGACAGAATATATTCCAGATTACGAGTCGAAACTACACCTGCTCCTCAAATGGAAATTCGCTTCCTCAGCGGCGGTGGAGAATCAAGGCGAGCTGAGGCGGAGAGGCCCTCCGTCCGCCTTCCCTAACCCGGTTCTTCCCGGATATGCCGACTGCCATTCCCATCATCCCTAGCTAACACGGCACCGAGTCTCGCCGGCTGGGAATGATGAGAGTTGAGTCTTGCTGAGGAGAGATTAGAGCTCACGGGCCTAAGATCCCCAACCCAGCTCGCCAAGCCGAGCCCGCCCCCTGCAAGCAGTTCTGGAATCTTCCATCTCCCCTCCCGCCGAAATGGCCTACGATCCCCACCGAGAAGGCGCTGCGAACTCCTTCCTCCGCTGCAGTGAAAGACCCCCCTCCCAGCACCGCGCCAAGACTCACCATAGTGACGACGCTCTCAAGGCTGCCGCTTGAATCTTTCCAGCCGCCTCGTGTCCGGGGATACAGCCACTCGCTCGTGCCCAAGATCGGATCCAACGAGCGCCGGAAATGACGGACAGCGCCCGCTCCTCGCCTCCGGATGAGAAAGTTGCATGTCGGGAGGTGTAGTTCTGTGGCCCATATCCTTGGCTCAGCAATCGTTAGGCTCTTTGTGACCTCACAACGGTTTGACTGTGTGTGGCGGTCGCGCGAGCGCTACATTTTGCAACGCGCGCAGACGACCCCGGTTATTACGGTTGGTATTTTAGTTTCTCTCTCACAATTCCCCTTCTAGCTTCTTGTAGCACAGAAAAGAAACGACATCAGAAGTCTGTCTTATAGTACTATAGTTCTTTTAGAGAAAGAGAAAAAAATCCAGTGGTTGAAATTATCGCTGTTGTATACATATAACGCTAAACACGGGTTTAGCGCTCCTTGATTTATTCCGTGCTTAACAGCTGCCTAGGTTCACATTACGTGCTGAGCATATTGTGGATTAGCGTGTGGATATTTTAGCCTCTGAGATACGCCATACAAATATGAAACGTATTTATAAGTTTACTAAAGCAACCATTTACTAATCACAGAATCCTCAACTTTTCTCTTTCTGACTGACGTTTGGCAGTTTGTGAAAAAAGCTTTAGAGGACAGGCTGTTAGTTAATCCATTTAAACAACTTCATTAATCAAGTCCCAAGTAAGTATGGCTAAGACTGAAAGCTAAATATACTTTGGTTAATTAACTTTAAAAAAATGTTAATAAAAACTGTTAATGTATCAAGCATAACAGAAGCAATGAGATAAATCACAGCAGCTACCAAGTAAAATTTCACTTGAGAAGACTGTTGGATCAGACTAAAAGCCAGTATCTCTACTAGGTAGCATTTACCTGCCACAATAATCTATCTGGGGGAAAAAAAGTGCTATTTATGCAATTAAGCAATTAAATCTTCAACAGAGTTATAAGCCTGTCTGGAATTAGAACTTTTAATCAGGGAGACACAGCCTGATATACAGAGATAGCAGCATTAAAAAAAAAAAGTAGTATGTTCCTTTTTCTTCTTGGACATATACTGTTATTTGCTGCTCTAATGATGTAAGGTCAGAATGGTAATTTCTTCAGTTTGGCAAATGCAAAAAATACAAGTAAAGGCCCTCAGGCTGCATCAGTTACACATTCAGAAAGCATGTTCAGTACCAGCTTGTTTTTAATATGTGAATTTAGAGCCAGGAACACAGATTACATTTAATAGCAGAGGCTGGATCTCCCATGCATGAATTAAAAATGCAAATATGCTTTATATTAGCAAAATTGACAAAAGCTTCTCATAGACTGAGATTATTTCAGAGAACACATGAAAGACTTCATGTTTGAATCCTCAACAAAGTACATTCCAGTTCATAAAAAATTAGCATGGTAGTCCATTGGTTTATATAGCTCAGTATTTGACCAGAGCGTATCAGGGCTTTAGAGGACATTCTCAGCCATAGATCCCAGGCTGACACACACACCTGGGTCAGAGTATGTTTGCTGTTCCATTTTAATACAAAGCATATTCTTAGCCTTTCCCATTGAAAACCATTTTCTTCCAAATTTTAATCCAAAACAACTCAGCAAAGCAACTGTTGAGTTGGGAGTCAAATTATATAATACATCTGTATATTTTATCTGTTGGATTTATATCCCACTTTTCCTTCAGAAGCTCAAGATAAGGTACATAGCACTGATTCCTAGGTCTGGGGAGACACAAGTTGAAGTCCACCCTCAGCCACAGCAACTCCCTAGATGACTTTGTGAGTCACTCTCTTAGCCCAACCTACCTCACAGGGTTGTTGTGGGGAAAAATGTGAGGGAGCAATATGTCTGCCATCTTTACCTTCTGTACAAAAAAGATGGGATATAAATCAAATAAATAAATAGCCCCCTCTAACAACAAACCTGTTAGTACTTGAACCTGAATCTCCCTGGTAAGAACCCCAACACCCATATCACACTGGTTGTAGTCCCATTCTATGAACTGAAATAAAGCTTGGACCTACTGAAGATACCACAAATTGTTTTTAATAAAGTATTTGCTCTTTTTTGGATTTTTCTGAAGGTTTATATAATTTTGCCATTGAATGTTGTCCAAGCTTCATGTGAGTCTTAGCGAGAAGGAATATACAGTTTGATCCTTATTTTAATCAGTTTAATTAAAGGGCTAACTAGGGCCAGTTGTGTAAGTACTTATTAAACAATCAGGGCTGATTTGGCCCAGATTTTGGCTCTGCTTATCACCATGAAGTTTTTAACCACATAGATTCCAAAGACATATCATGCTCAACTTGAAAAAAATTTCTGAGGATCTTCATTAAAAGATATTTGATTCCTATCAGTCTGTTTCAAGAACATCAAGAAAAATAAAACACATTCAAGACATGTGAAAACAGCATCCCTTATATATCCAAGACACAGTGAACACTTACATAATAAAATCAATATTTTATTGCCATGCTACAGTTCTTTGTGAAGCTGGCACTGATGGGGGGACAATGCTGTCAATATTACAGAATACATTTCAAAATGGACATCATCTGATAAGTCAATGAAAAAGCAAGCTTAAATGGTAGTATATGGATGTTGAAAAACAAATACAGTGTGTTTTAGGAACAACACTGTTACTTCAAAAGAAGCCTGGAATGTTTAAAAAGAGCCACAGTGGAGGGAAAAAAGGTTAAAATAGCTCGTGAACTTTTCAAGGAGCATTTGGCAACTTTAGACTTTTTAATATATAAAATAAAATTCTAGAAAGCTACTTTCATACAAAGTTGCTATATTGATGCCTTTATGTAGGAAAACATTTTTATAATTCAAAATTAGGACATACAATTTTACAGTATTTTACAACGTAATGAAAAAGTAACATACAAATACAGATTTGGCTTTTATAGAAATGTATATTTATGCATTTCAGAAATGCATTTGTGGCACACTGGTGATTACAGGACTGTTATCTGTTTTCATATTAACATGTCAGATCAGTAACTTCTGAAACACTGCCTACTTTTCTACCTACACAGTGGTTCCAAAGACATAACAGTAGGTGATGCTACAATGAATGGAAGTTTATGCCATAAAAATAAAAAGGCATCATACTTGCTGGTTGAGACACCCCGTAACATGGTATACCGTACAAACACTAACTCCTTTTTACAAAATGGAAGCATTTTCTTTACATTCGGTGACAATCAATGTCTTACAGGCAAGACTATCTGTATTCCTAGTTTAGCAAATAATAAGAATACAGAGTTAATATCATGAATGTATTTTTAAAGGTGAAATTAAACAAAGTTTAAGGTGTTGACATCCATTGTTAACAAAGTATAGAAATTCCTGAGTGAAGGGTCCTCTCCATTTTTAAAATCATTTATTTCACACAGAGTATTTCAAAACTCAAAGCATGAAGAGAAGCAAAATTCACAGTAATATTTAACTCCATACATATAGCAAAATGTATTTATTGTTTAACTATTTATTGAATACTCAATTTACTGAGCATTATTCTATATTATTTTTGGATCACTGCTGAAAAAGACAGACAATTCATGTTTTTTATTACATTAGTAAATTGAATCTCTGAACTATGAGAAGATTTCAATCATTCTTCCCTTTATCAGAAGGTAGTACAGTATGTGAAATTGTAAGACAATATTATTTCCACTGTTATAAATATTTATATGGCAAAGACTATGTCTCTGGAAAGTGAGAACTAAAGGAAGATGACACTTCCTAATTTGGGGCTAATTTCATCCTATTTGTCAGCAACTAGCATATATTAGAGAAATTGTCTAATTGCTCCTACACTCTTTTAAGGCTGTGTGTTTGTGTGTGTAGCCCTCTATATCATAAACTCTGTTACAGAATGTTCCAAAAGGACAGCTCACTGAGAATTATATGTTTATAAAGGCTCTGTTCCAAGACAGTTCTTTATGAACATATAGGAAGACTACATTGTGCCAAAATAATTAATAAAACTCATTCATAATGACTATTAGACATTACAAATGTATATACAAAGGTAAACTCTAGTGGCTATGACAGACAACATATATTTTACCAAATATATAATTTTAGCCTTAAAAATAACAAAAATAGTTTACATACCTTTTGCAGGTAAATGGTTAAACTTTGATTTGCAGCAATGCTTCATGGACTATAAAGACTATTTTGAGAGATCTTAACTGTCACACTCATCCTTTCACAGGAAATGCTGTGTTGATTTGGAGTAAAATTTTGAAAACAGAGAGAGGAAGGAAACTTGTGAAAGACTTTCCCTCCCTTCCCCTCCAATACCCCTACCAAATGTTATGAGGACTGATATAATCAGTTAAGACATGAAGCACCTCAAATTGGATGGACACACCTTGTGTAGGCAAAGTATCACTCATCCAAGATATCTCCCACAACAATCCTTTACACCTCATCCTATACATTTTAGTGGTTCCTCAGGGGCAGGTTTTCAGGGGTGCAGGGCAGGACAGTCCTGTAACTTAATCTTCCTTCTGCTCGTGGTTCTCAGGCTCTAGTCTTATTAACACGTTAGGCCAAGAAACATTTGAAAAACAACTTGGCTGTACCGCAAGAGCTGCTAGTTATAAAGTCTGTAATGCCTGTGGTGAGCATCTGCTTAATAGATTGGATTAGTTAGTGCTGGTACAAATTGTTTAAACACACTGTTACAGAATAGAAGAATGCAATCCAAACGGATACTTTGGGGAACATATATCTCTTAAATGGACAACATTCATTTAAATCATGCTGTCTTAGAAATGTATGTGTGAGTTGGCTGACCACCTTAAAAAGAAAAATAGTGTTTTGTACCAATAGTAAATATAGAGAAACTCCTGTTATTATCTGGTCACACTGATGTGAAAAGTATCAACATTTAAATAATATTACTGAATAACTGATTGCTGCAATGCACTGTTGATAGAAAAAGTAAAAGCTTAGCAAGCGAAGATACTGTGAGATCCAACAAACTAGACAGCTCTGGAGAAGAGAGAATAGTATAGTATCAGAATGTTCAAGCAATGTTAATAATTCTAGGCTTAAAATATAATTCAGGATTTCATAATTTGCTCTTAGTTTATTTTTTAATAAATGCACATGTTTTAGGAATATTATAATTTTGAAATTAAATGAGTGGGTATTTGCTATAAGTTTTTTTGTATCCACTTAGAATGGATACAATTTCTAAGACTGAGGAAGGGGAAAGAATTTTCATAAAATTAAGATTCCAAGAATAAGAATTCAAGACACTTTAAAAAATAAATCATTATATAGTGGGATCACATGCAATACTGCTTTGATGTATTCCATTTCCAATATTCTTATTGTATAAGAATACAGTAAGTACATTTCACTGTACTATTCCTGAGTACATTGGGATAAACAGTAATAGCAACAAATTAAATTCCAGCCCAAAGTATCTTTATCTTATCCACTAAATGAACTTGTATAATTTGTGCATACTTAATACTGTCTGCCCCCCCATTCAGTGAACATTCCATTTGATCATCTTTGCTGGTCAGAAATAAATCTTGACAAACTTCCAGTAGATAGACCCTTCCTATTCAAAATATATGCAAATACACCCATACATTTTCTACCTTCAGTAATGCAGTATAAAAATCTACTACATTTTTAGTTAGTTTGAAAAATTGAAAGGAAGGGTTAGGTGGGAGAGTGCATGAAAGAACAAGATTAAAAACTAGTCTTGAGACTAAATCAGATTTATCTGGTTTCTGGGATGACTAGGTAATAGTTTCTATAAGGAACATTCATATTCAAATCAACTGCTTCTGTTAGAAACCTCATAATTTTGACTAATAAATGGACAGTGCAATAGTGCAAAACTCACTGAAAATCAGTACATAATGAAAAACAGAACAAATGAGGACAACTGAAACTGGCAGAGAAAACATTAATATCAGTTTGCACCACAGTGCAAACAAAAGCTTATACCTCCTTAAGGTAGGAATTTGTGCAAGAAAACTACAAAGTAAAGCACCATCTTGATGACTGGATCATTTTAGCATATAACTGCACATTACTACAGCAGAAACCACCTTAGAATAAATCATACAAAGACAGTTTTGGCCATCTTGAAACTGCTTCATCTCATCAGCTTCACCTGATATGGATAATTCTGAGAAGCCTTCTGCACATCATTACTTTTCCTACATAGAAATAATTCAACATGTAAATTATTAGAAGTACAAAGAGACAATGTTGTCTTCTATCGTGTTTTGGTAGAGCACCTTTTAGCTGAATTTATCAAGCTGATCATCTCAACATGTAGCCATGGCCATGTACAGGTAGTCCTCAACTTACGACCACAATTGGGACCAGAACTTCCATCGCTAAGTGATGCGGTCATTAAGTGAATCGCATCTGATTTTATGACTTTTGCTGCAGTCATTAAGGAATCTGGCTTCCCCCATTGACTTTGCTTGTCAGAAGCCCCCTGGGAAGGTCACAAATGGCGTTCATGTGACCCTGGGATGCTGCAACCATTGTAAATACATGCCAGTTGCCAAGTGCCCAAATTCTGAACATGTGACTCCAGGGACACTGCAACAGTCATAAGTGTGAAGACCAGTTGTAAGTCACTTTTTTCAGCATCACTGTAACTTCGAACAGTCATTAAATGAATGGTCATAAGTTGAGGACTACCTGTATGTGTTCACTCTTTCTGTACAAAAGTGCCACTGGCCTTCCAGATTGATTTTCCTGTGAAAAAGCTGCCTGGTGGCTGAAATAGCTAAAATGTGTTTTAAATGCCTATTACAGTCTTTGAAACTATGTTAGGCTAAATGTGCCTGTAATGGAGGCACATATTTTTCGTGCAAAGCAGAGCTGTTTCCTACCTCAGATCTATGTATTTAGCCTTCCTTCCCATTTTGCACTATTTACTGAAATAAGATAACATGATAAAAAAGGATCTTTGTGCAAATTAATTTGACATAATTTGGCTTATGTTGCTATATTTATAGAGTCTGGATACAGAAATATGGCACAGAGAAAAAGATGGATGGAATTATGATTTTACTGAATATAATTTTCAGAATAGCAGTGCACATGCTCATATAGCTCTGATGGCACTTTATTTTGGCAAACTATCACATCTTCCCTCAGGCTTTTCAGCACAAAAAAATATCACAGTAAAAGGCTTCAAGTGTGACAATTTTATCTCATATGTTGTACCTTTCTACAATATTGAAATTCAGGCTAAATTAACACAAGGTCACAAAAAACTAGATTATCAGCATGACTGAAGGCACTGTAATTTTTTGAAAAATATTGTAGAGAAAATTTCATTAGTATGCTAGTTATTTCCTCTAAATGTTTATTTTCAGTGCTGTCCTGATAAGCAATTTGCAAGTCCAATGCAAATATTAATACTGATGAAAAAAGGAAAAGCAGTCTGAAATTTGCAATTATGAATTTACCACAATGTTGACTCTATCCAGTAAAGTGCATATCATCAGATGATAGCAGCTAATGAGAGATACTGCCAGCCACACTGAAAGGTAGGTATGAAACTGTGAAAACATTTTCTATAACAGAAAACGAGAAAGGAAATAACTCTTAATTACTTTCCAACATACTAAGAAGGTAATAGTATGTTTAGGTACTGAATAGGAGAAATAGACACAGCTCATCATACTGAAGTTTTATGACTATTTTCTGGTTACATCATCCTTCCTATTACACTGCAATGCATATTTTGTCGTAGGTATTTTCAATATTTTGGAACTTAAACTTTTTCTATAACCTGGCATCTCCAAGTGTTTTGGGAATGCAGTGCCTCTAATTTTCAGCCAATATATTGACTTGGAAATCAGAGTTGTAGCCACAGTACATCTGGCACCAGTCTGGGGAAAACTACTTAAGGCATGGGGTTTTACCAAACAGATCCAGTTAACTGCAGTAGATTAAACTAAGGAGGGCTTGTATACTATTGATTTTTTGGGTTAATGTTCCTTGTAGACAGTGTCCTTAGTCTCCAACATTCTTACATTTATTGACAACAAAACCAAAGTAATGTTTGTAGCCAGATAGAAAAAAAATAAACAATTAAAATATGTTGTCATAAAGGAACACCCTGTTTATTCCAATGACAAAGAGGTCTAGTTATATATCTGGTTATATTCTCATACACTTAGAACTGGAAGATCTTTCAGGCAGTTTATCCCCATAAGTATTATTGAAATAAAAATGAAATTACAACAGAATAGAAGGCTTAACAAAGAGAGCCTCTGTGTGTATGTACATACACACAAACACGCACGCTCCTTTGGAACTGGAGCCAGTATGCCTCTGAATGGTAGTTGCTCTGTGAGAGTGAGAATGCCATTGCACTCAAAATTTTGCTGTGAGCTTCCCAGATAAACCTGACTGGCATATAGAAATTGCCCTTTGGTCTGATCAAACAGTGTCCTTATGTTTCCAAAGTTTGTTTTTTGTTTAAGCTCAGCTATTGCTTTTTAATATATTTTCTGTTCTCTTTTAAAACATTTTGTTCAACTAGAGAGGTGAAGGACCAGGGAGAAAAAATAGAAACTATCATATATACTGGTTCCAAATGTTTTTCCCCATTTTTTTTCCAATGAGAAATAGAAAATTAGGGCACGCACACACCCACTATTGATTTTAAAATAATATTGCTACATAGCAAGTTCACACTGATGCAAGTATGTTGGATGCAACATTCTAAATTAGTAAATATTAGCAATGATGCCATTGCTCCATATTTGGAATACTAAATATGTATAGAAATCTTTCCAAAATGAATACAGAATGTATTGATTGAAGAATTTGGTCCTTTTTTGAAGTCTGGTGACCCCATCTGAAAGTTCATAATCTGACAGAATTAGTACTTTCAGTTATAAATTTACTAATATTGCATGAAATAAAATAAATATGATTTTGGGACAACTGTTTTTCTCTACAGTTACTCAAAATCTGAGGGCTGTTAGTCCTGTCTAGCCAGAAACAGTTTTCCTGGAATCAATTGATACTAAACCCTAGTTAAGTGTCTATAGGACTGTATGTTGTCTAGAAAATAGTACATTGCTATGACGTTTAGCTATCCAAATGTACTGCCACTCCAATATAATATAACATGAATACTTATTTTCAGACCTTCATTCTAAAGTATGAATTCCTTTAATTTCTGCGTGATCATACTAAGGTCTACATATGACTTTAATTTCAAATAATAAAATCTTACTTTACTACTATATTGATAGTTTCGATGTTTTCATTTTCCCCTATTTTCTCAACTGAAGAAAAAGTAAGTACCTTACAGTACAAACGTATGGATGTCTATTAAGAAGTAAGTGAAACAGACTTCAATAGGACTAAGCCCCAGGTAAGCAGATAAAGGATTGCAGCTTTAGACAAAACATACTATGTGGTAACACTGGCCAGATTTGAAATTACTGTTCAAATAAAAATGCTTCTATTTTGAAATTTTATAAATACATCAAACAGTACCATTATGTGCTGATCTATATATTATATAATTCATGTTCCTTATAAGAAAATAAGCTTCCTCTATATTTCAATTTTCTCATAATGTCTGGTTTTGTTTTTTCTTTTCCCTGGAAAACCATACAAGCTAAAGCATAGCTTTTTCCACATTTTCAAAATGCATAGGAATGGCTACATCTCTATAAGCTTCATAGTTCCTTATAAAAGGCTTTACTTTTTTTGAATTGTAGGCAGAAGCTGGTTCATACTGTTATAAACTTTCCACAGCACTGGATACAATACAGACTTCTAATTGGGAATCTGACAGAATCAAAAATGGATTATAACGTAAAACAATCAACAAATGCCAAATGTACAGGAAGTATTCAGGAGTAATTAAGCTATCAGCCATCTATTAAAGAGTTACAAGTATTACTTTAGGAGACTTCCTATACATTCAGTAGGTATTCCATTTTTACTCTCAGCAAAACAAGCTTAAGATGGAACATCTGAGATCAATAACATTATAGAAATAGAAAGCAGTAGCTTACAACAGAACTGAAAGAAATTTTTGCTTGTAGATGTCAGGATCTCAATCTCACAGTACCCCAAACTCTCATTCATAGACTAAATCATGTTGTTGGCTTGTATAAGTAAGCCATATAATGTTTAAATCCATCATTCTGACTTTGATACTTGGTTTGCAATTCCTTTTTTCTGGGTTAAGCTAAATATGAAAACATGTTACAGCATGCCTCTCTGTAAAAAATAACACAGCACTTCTTGCTCTTAAATGAACATAATGCATCTTTAAATTTGTGAAAGACAGCTTTCTCTTAAGTAATAATATTACAAATGGGCCTTTCCTGTACAAATGAAAGACAATGACCAAGATGAAACGCACAAAATACATTGAACATAGACTACATACAGAGTTAAGCTATTGACACAAATGAAAAGAGGGAGGTAAGAGAATATTTTCAGAAATAGAAGGTAAAAAGAACCCACCATAGATATATGATTGTGAATTACATCCAAAACATCCAGAGAGTGTGTAGCTGTATAAATGTATAGAAAAAAATGTAGCTGCTATCTGGAAATCTAAAGCAAGACAAATTTCAGATACTTTGATGGAAGAAAACCTGATGAAAAGAAAACATTAGTGATATATAACAATAGTGGCAGGTCAACACTAAAACTTAAGTTCGTATTTAAAAAAAAAAAATAACTAACACACAGGTTGAAAACCAGACAGACCTGTGCATTAGTGATGCTTTTGCATGCACAGGAAGGAGACCTGCTTTTTTTCTTCTGTCTACATCCCTTCAGAGTGCATGGATTAGTTGTTCCAGGGGGCCTTCATAGATCTTTGAAGGTCTTTATAAGCAGCTTTGAAGAAAGTAATGGAGCTACACGGAAAAAGAGAGCTAGAAAAGTTGCACTGTAAGTAAATGCAATACCATCCCTTATGTCCTAGAATTTATAGCCCTTGGCCCATAAAGCACAATGCTCTTTTACCAACATCCATCTTCACTTGACAAAAAGTGTGAAATTATCTAGGTGCATGTCATTTCCCCACTAAATGATGTACCTTCTTCATATAACTCTCTGTTGGTATAACTTGAGAAAGCAAAAACATTTTCTAGAACTGCAACACAAACTTGTTAACTAATGGAATTGAGCAGAACATGTTTTTAAATTACTAGTTGTTGGACTTATGGTTAGTGGATTTAAAGTGCATCTTAAGATCATGGGTAATTTTAAACGAATTCCATGAGCTACATGACATCTGAATGTAAGTTTAATGAAACTAATAATTTCATATGTTTTTATCTCTCCCAAATCAGCCACTAAACAGCATTCCCTTCAGTACAAAAATTGGCTTTACTAAATTTAGTAAAAGGATTTACTATAGAAAGCTGGTCCTATTAGGAGAGGTTTGTAGGGCAACAGCTGCCTGTCAGTCCTTTCTCATAAACCCAGCACCCTGAAAGAAAACTGTACCATTGTTTGACAACTGAAGGTGACTAAAACCTTTCTCATTTATACCACATGAAGCCATAAATTCAACTGGAATATGTGAATTTATAAACATATATTATGAGAAATTCTACTGATTTGCAAATAATGCAAGTTTCAGGCAGCATAGGAGTGTCATAATGCCTTCAGTGATTTTAGGCACATGGCCAATTTGTCATAATTGGCCACTACAACTTTCAGACAATGAAATAGGCACTATAAAAATGGCAAAAAACATTTAAAAGCTGTTTCTACAATTGTAAAGTGATAATGTTATTTAATACTTTTTCTACCTTAAATTCCCTTTAAGCAAGCAAATAAAGTACAGGTAGTCCCCAGTTTAAGAATGAGTTCTGTTCCCAAGGTCTGTCCTTAAGTCAAA